AATGCCTTTGCATAGTCAATGAAACACAGATAGACATTCCTCTGGTATTCCCTGCTTTCAGCCAAGATCCATCTAACATCAGCTACAGTATCTCTAGTACCACGACCCCTTCTAAACCCAGCGTGGACTTCTGGTAGTTCTCTGTTGATATGTTCCAGTTGTTTTTGGATAATCTTCAGTAAAATCTTGCTTGCATGTGCTTTACCCCATAAGGGGGTAAAGAAAAAAAATTAGAGCTTGTTTTAAAGACAGCTAAAATTTCTCAGAATGGGCTGATGTTAACAGAGTATCATGTGCTAGGAATTTCAATTACTATGAAAGCTAAAAGAGACTGAAGTGATACCTTCATAAAGCTTACACAAAAGAATATTTCAACTAAAATGTACAAAAGCAGTAATAGCTATCTTGTTGAAAAAGCCAATGTAAACACGAGATGGAAAATAACTGTCCAAGTTTACAAGCAATTATGAGGAAGGAAAAGAATGGAGTATATACTAAACTTTGAAAAAACGTAGGCCTGCAAAAAAAACAGTAACAATATAATATAAAAGAGGAAGATTTCATACAAATGAATAAAAACACTAAGCACGCCAAAATTTAAAAAGTATCTGAGTAATAATATAAAAGATGTTTAATAGCATTAATCATCTAAGCCATTTAAACTTAAACAAATTGAGAAATTGTCAAATTGGCAAAGATTTTAAAAAGGCTAATTCTAAACATTGACAAGAGCATAATGGGTATTTATATTCTCTTGGTGGGAAAAAAATTAGGGCAGTTTTTCAAATGTATTATCTGACAAGCAGGATACATATAAAGGAAATAATCTGAAATGAAGGCAGAGACTTCTGAACAAGCAATTAATGACACATTCATTAAAACTAAATTTAAAGTTTAAAGACACAATTATCAGGGGAATGATGATCTGTTAACAGTCATAATTTGGTGAAAGTGGAAAGTATAGGCCTCTGGTTTTAATCCTGAGTAGTACTCACCTCAACAGAATAAGACATTTCTTCATTACAGTTGTCATTGATTTTCTCAAATAGCTCTTCACATAACTACAGAAGCAGAAAGAAAAGGGCATGAATAGCTTAAATCAGAAAAGTTCTAATTAACCAAGAGTGCTAAGTGGCTTAGCCACAGTTCCCTCTTAAAAATATTAACAACATTAACACTAAGGCACAACTAATGCTTTAAACAAAATAAAAGGAAAACTGAATGCCTTCTACCATCTATACTCTTTAGTCTCCCTCAGCAATAACACTTTTCAGTAGTCAGAGAAGTCTCATTTGAGGAAAGGGGAAATTTTGTCATCTATAGAGGAGTCACTGTCACATTTAAATTTATGTGGATTCAATCTTTTTTTTTTTAAATTTTATTAGTTTTAATGAACATTTACAGAGATTTTGGGTTTTCATTCATTCATTGTTGCACTGTTTTTTCTACCCTCCTCCCCAGTTCGTTCTCCTCCCCACGCCCCCCAAGGATTCAATCTTTCATACTATAGGAGGGTAACTCTCTCCATCTTCAGCTTTCTTATTATTATAACAACAGCAAAACTACTATTAAATTATATTTCACGCATATTTTTTATATTATACAAGATTTATTATTATTATATATTGACAGTTACTATATATATTTTACATAGGTAGTTACATTATAAATTTACTTTATACATTATAAATTTAAAAGCTAATTTTAGGGATTTTCATGAATAATTTGATGCTATAAATTTTTGCTTTTTCTCCTAAAAGGGAGGAGCTATTCAGCACTATCTTTTACCTCCAGTCTTTATGAGAGATGCTGTTATCTCCACATAAATGCACCTCTAACCGAAATCATTGTTACATATCAAAATGATAAAACTCCATATTCTCTAACCTTGAAATTTATTGAAAAGATTCTTTTTAAATAAAAATAATTAATAAAACCTACTAAGTTTTCATTTGCTATCCCTTTAAAATTAAGGTAATCAATAAACATTTTGAAAAATATTAACTCTGCCCTGGAGACTCTCGAAGTTTATTGTTGTTGTTAGGTGCTGTCGAGTTGAGTACAATTCATAGAAACACTATGAACAACAGATATGGACCTTGTACTATCCTGTGCCAGCCTCACAACCTTTGAGACATTTAAGCCCAATGCTGCAGCCACTGTTTCAATCCACCGGGTTCAAGGTCTTCCTCTCTCTCTCTCTCTGTCCCTCCACTCTTCCAAGCACGATGGCTCCCTCGAATGAAAAATCTCTCCTAGCAACATGCCCAAAAGTATGTGAGACAAAGTTTCATCATTTTTTTCCTCTAAGAAGGACTTTGGCTGTAACTTCTCCAAGACATTATTATTTGTCCAGAAGTCTAAATAGAATTAAAATTTACTACAAATAAATCTTCTGAACGGTAATCACACTTTTGAACAACTATACTTTTGCATTAAAATAAAGCATGCTAAAGATCTACCAGAAATGATACATATAAAATGTATCTCATAGCCTAGTGGTAAGAAGCTGTGCCGTAATCAAATCCATGAGCTGCTCCTTGGCAGAAGGATGGGCAATTTTCTCCCACACAATTTACTGCACCTAAAAACCCACTGGAGGGTAAACTATGGGTCGGTTCTGAATCAATGGTACAACAACAATTACCAAGAACCCCCAAAACACAGATATTAAAATTAAAGGGAAAGGAGGGAGAAAATAGGCATGGATCTCTGCTATAACCTGTTGCTGCTGTTAGATGCCATCGAGTAGACAACTCATAAGAACTCTTTGAACAATGGACATGAACGGTTACCTTATTCCATCCTCATCATCTCTTGTGACGGTGTCATTCCATCTCGTTTAGGGTCTTCCTCTACTTTCATTGACTCTGCTATAACCTACTAGTGAGAAACTACTACAGAGAGGTGGAAAGTAATGACTCCAGACTACCTTATCTGCTCCTAGGACCTGGCTCTGCACTAATTAGGGCAGGTGACATGCCCTGTGAATCAGTCTCTTCATCTGTAAAATGAAGTTATCAGAGCACCTACCTCATGGGGTTATAGGAGGGTTGTGGTTGTTGTGTAGGATAAAGTCAGAACTGACTCATATCTTACCCTCCAGGGGGTTTTCAGAGGCAGTTAATCACATGGGAAGAGAATGCCCATCCTTCTCCTATAGAGCAGGTGGTGGTCTTGAACCGCATGCCTTGACGACTGAAGCACAGCTTCTTGCCACTAGACCATCATAGCTTTTTGGCAAGCACTTAAATCTATGCTTAGCATTTAGTGTTACATAATGTTTTCCCTAAATAGCACCACAGTTATTATCACTACTACAAAAGACAACTGCTAAAATGTTTCAAAACATTTAAGTATGGAGAAAAATGTATGTCAGTTTTATAATTTCCTTTTTAAAAAACCTTCCTGTTATTTATTAATAATTAAGCATTTAAAGTATATGACTGAATTTAAGATTATGGTCCAATAACCTATTAGAAAAAGCTATTCTTGTCCCCTTAATAATTTTATTCTCAAAATACAAAGTTAGTGGCATTATGTTAATAATAAAAGAGTACTTTTCATCCAAATATAGTTAATAAGAGTAAACCACGTTCCTGTTTTTAAAAATTAAGTTCTAACTACCTATGTCAGAAGTTACCTTCATTAGCAGAATATTAAAAAATCCAAAACTAATATTAAGTGATCTTGAATAAAGGATATATCAGACTGTAGAAAGTGTAGCATGATAGACAGCATTAAGTTAATAAAAGTTAGCATTAAGCTAAAAAGGTAAGAAAAGATATCTGAAAGACATATCATATACACATAAGTATGTCTCAAATGTTTTATTCTTTTTAGCCAGACAAGTTAACTTTCTTTTTTTTTTTTTAGCCGAATTAATAAAGTTTATTTTTAGTTCGAACCTGGGCTCCTGTGTGCTAACACAGCAGCGATCCACTCGAGAGAACAAGTTAGCTTTCTAATGTTTCATGAAATTAAAGTTTTCTTATTTCTTGAATATCTCAGATACATTTCATAGATTCTCAAAAAATAAAATTGACAAAAATTAACAAAGTGCTAATTTTTCTGCCTTTGTAGACAGATACTCTTCCACAAGACTGTAAATTACATGCTCTTTCACTAGACTGTAAATTATTCTGAAAGGGACAGATTTTCATCTTTATGTCTTGCATGTGACATTTCCTTAATAAATGTTTGATATATAACTATTAAAGTAATTAAAGACTAAGAAGACGTTGAATGGAAAAGGAAGGAGGAGCAGGTGCTGTCTCATTTCTCACCTGTGGAATGATGCCAGCTTGGCTTTCTTCTTGTTTGCCCATCATTGTATAAGATTTCCCAGCACCAGTCTGCCCATAGGCAAAAATACAGACATTGTATCCCTCAAAGGCATGTAAGAGCATTTCTTTTCCAATATCATTGTACACACGGTTTTGAGATGCAAAGCAGGGATCTTCAGGCTGTAAAAAATGAAAAAGACAGATATTATTTTACTCAGACCATTTTGTATACTGATTTGATAGTCTTGGTAATAAACCAACAATGTTCAGTCACCTAAAATGTACTTATATTTATATTAAATTTATATTTTTAAAATCTCCTCTACAGTGTTTATTTTTCTCATTAAACACAATCTCAAGCACGTCCTTTCTCTTCCCCTCATCCTAAATACATACACACTTAAAATCATCCAGGTCAGTCATATATATGTATTTTTTCATTCATTCATTCATTCATACATACATAAAAAATTATCTGGAAAGACTACACATAATTTTCTATACTTTTAAAAGTAACTCATTTCTACTCACTCTTCTGGGGAGCTCCAAGAAAATTTCCCTCAGTGTAAAAGTCAATAGTCTTTCTACTTAAAAAACATCAAGTTCATGCACGCCCATGTTTATCGTGGCTTTGTTCACAATAGCAAGGAGTTGGAAACAACCTAAGTGTCCATCACAAACGAATGGATAGAGAAGCTGTGGTATATTCACACAATGGAATACTACGCTGCATTGACAAACAAGGAACTTATGCAATATTATTCAAAATGGGTGACCCTGGAGGACATTATGCTGAGTGAAATATCTCAGTCACAAAAGGACAAATACTCATAGTGCCACTGTTGTACAACAGGACTAACATGGGGGTTTGGGGGAGACTGAGAAAGATGGGATAAATTATGTATACTGCATTGAAACAGATGAGGGAGAAAACTGTTTAAAAGGGATATGTGATTAGGTATCATTGTCATGAATGGAGTCCAGAGCGAAGGCTGCATAGTGGAGTGGACCTGGGGGGTGGGATTGTAAAACAATGAAAGAATTCTTCTTTTACTTTTCAAAGGGGGGGGGGCAGGGAGAAAAGTGTAACAATGAATGAATGGAAATCCAAAGTCTCTGTAAATTTTCATTAAAATTAATACTACTACTACTAATAATAAAGTAAAAAAAAAGTCAAGTTCACATGTGAAAGTATCTTTTTGAACTTGCACTAGGTAGTGTGTTATTTCTCACTAAACTCAGTTCTCAGTAAAGGATTTTTCCCCAATTCTTTCAACAGGCTCTTCCCTAGGCAATTAGGTTTTGATGCTAGTTTAAAACATTGTCTCACTTTTCAACACAAAATAGAAAAAAAGAAATTGCTTAACATTCTTGAATGAAACATGAAATAAACTGTAGTTTAGAAACAATCCTAAATTCTAGTTTAGGAAGTCAGTAAGATTTGAGGTACTGAGAAAGCTCCACTGCAGTGGGAGCTTTGGTAGTCTAATGGTAGGGAGTTATCCTGCAAACCCAAAGGCAAGCTGTTCAAATCCATCAGCTGTTCTAAGAAAGAAAGAGGACTAATCTCCACCTGTGTGATTTATAGCTCTGAAAACCTGCCTGAGGGTCAGCCATGAGCCAGTCTGACTTGACAGCACAAAACAGCAACAATATTGAGTAAAAATATCATGAATGGCCTGGCCCAGGTACTTATAACCTTTATTTTCCTTGTGGACTTGCATGTGCTTTCAAAATGTTAAAATCACACCATTCCTCCACCATTAAAAAGAAAAGTACACCACTTCACTATAGACCCTCTTATCTGTTTACTCTTTACCTGTGCTCCCTACTCCCTCAAAATTCAGCCGACAATCAACAATACACTAAGCAATCTTTAATTTGGATATTTCCAAGTTCTACATGTATAACTGTTCATAATGAGAATAATGAATCATTTCATTCTGAAATGATCTCTAAATCACAGGTTTTGAACCTGAGGTTCAGTATAAATCTTGTGTAAACTAAAATCAGGAGTGAGAGTAAAAAATACATATACAACAAAATATTTGACAGTAAAGCTTTATATAAATGTAAATATGCAGGGACACACATGCACACAACCTTCCCACCAACCGAAATACTTTATTAAGGAGAATACTTAGAAAAGCATTCACGAAACAGGCATCAGATATGCTCTGGTAATAGGACAGAGAGAGAGGAACAGAAGGCTGAGTCCTGACACTCGCATCTGTGGCAGCAAGCTGCAGCACAAGCACACTCACCGAGGTATGAGACCAGTAGGAGTAGTCGAAGCTGAAGGACTTTGGAGCTTCCTTCGGGTTCTTTGGGTTAATAATACCTAGAGAAGAAAAATGTTTATGTCACTCATGTATGCATACTCTTTAGTTCCACAAGGATGTTTTTACATGAAAAACATCAAAATCAATAAATTCAACCACTGAATCTGATAAAGTGCAACTTAAAAAATAAAAGTAATCACCTTCTTGAGAGGTAACCTATTCAACAATGAATGAATTAAATCTAACTTTTGTGTAAACTTTCATTAAAATCAGTGAAAATAAAAAATATTAAAAAAACAAAATAAAAGATGTAATCTTCATTTGGCATTTGAGAAAAATCTAAACAACATTTACTGGGAATCATTAGGATTCAAAACAGACCCTAGTACACAGAAAGTGCGCCATAAATATTTTCTAACAGAATGTTAATCCTCCCTGAGAAACTTAACCAAAATTTGGAAATGGAGCAGGTTACTACTTCAAGGTGCTTCATAAGTCTTTGAAAGAATCCAGTACAACAGAAATAACTACTCTTATCACTCTCTGAAATGCCTTTCTGAATTAACATCTAAACAACAAAACTCATTCAACCATTTTCACACAGTTCATGACAGTGGTAACATACTTTATTTATAATGTGTCATCATTTTATTTCTATCCATATTGTTTCATCACATTAATTTTGACTCTCTGCTCCTTAAAGTTCTCAATTGTATTTTAGCATAGCTGTAGTCTATTTAGGGAGTTCTAGTAGGTAAATAATTGCACTGCAAACTCAAAGGTAGTCAATTCAAATACACCAGCTACTACTCCTTGGGAGAAAGATGGGTAATCTCCTCCCATGTGATTAACAGCCTCTGAAAGCCCAATATGAGTCGGGTGTGACTCTACAGCAAGGGGGGGGATTGTTTATTTAATTTCATGCATGTATTCTTTAAAAGCAAACACTTTTCATTAAATAAGCTAATTTGTACAAAGATGCCTTCATAAGATTATTTTCAGTTCAAGGCTTAAAAGCTGTGAAACAAACTCTTCAAAGATCTTACTTTTGGCTCTTGTTCTGTCTCTGTCTCTCTCTCTGCTAGATAGCCCTGTTTCTGAAATGCACAGCTGACAAACTAATATATTACTACAGAATCATAATATATAATTATATGTGGAAATAAAAACTATTAATTAATGTGTAGAATATTAAAAGGAGGAAAATTAAGTTTTGACTGAAAAGCATGATGTCTCACTGCTCACAGTAGTGATTTGTTGTGCATGTCACTCAGTTAAACTATCCTCCAGGGACTGACTTAGAATGCTGAGGAGCTTACTTACCCTTCTTTCTTATATATGCAAAACTCTAGCAAGCTCATTTCTCGTAAGAGAGCACCCTTTATAATATATGGTGAGAGAACCCCCTTAAACAGTGGCCATTTTCAACCAATCCACTTCTCTAGAGCAGGACATCCTAGGCTACCAGTGAGATCAGGATTAAAAACTGTCTGGAGAAAAAGCTGTCTGGGACAGCTGCTGCTCAGGACACAAATAGCAACAGTTGCTACTGTGCTTAGTTCTCCTGCTGGATTGCAGGGTAGGGCTAAACTTCTGCTCCAACCTCAAATGCTGACAGAGTATTAGTAAGGCTCCCACTGCACATAATCATGTGACAGAATTGGCTTGAAAAAGAACATCTTTCCACACACAAATGGTAATCTAAGCAACAAAAAGTACTTCTAACCAAAAGACTCCCTAAGATTTAAATAATAGCCAAAATTCAGGAAGCACTAACTGTAAGCTGTAAGCACTTTCTATATATTAGCTTACTTAACATTCCCAACTATACAATGAGGCAGATGTTTTATTATCTCTCTTTTACAGATAAAGAAATCATCACAGAAAGAGTAAATAATTTATTCATGACTAAAGAGCTGGTGGCAGATCCAGGATGTGAATTTGGAGAGTTTGGCTCCAGAGCCCAGACTCTAAATCAATACAGTCATCATTTAATGCTTACTCCCTAGAATTCAGCAATTCCCAAAGCAAAATACAGTGAAGTAAAACAATTTTATGCTTATAAAATATGAACATATTACGTAAATATTCTTTCCCCTAAGCAATACCACAGACTTGTTTAAAACTTGCTACTACTTAAAATTGGGAACTATGTAAGATTCTAGTTCCTAGGAAATGAAACACCACCCCAGCACACACAAAACTCTACGAAGAAAATAAAAGTTAACAGCACACTGTGTGAGCCAACTTCCAAGTTTCATGTGATCGGCAGTAGTAAGGAAAATGATGAGACAGAAGGCATGTAACCTAGTCTTCACTCCTCAAAAACACAAACACTTCTAACAGCTCAAAAATATGCCATCATAAATCCATCAATTCAGTTTACTCATTCTTTTATAAATTTTGCCAAAAATAACTTAAGAAAGATCCAGTTCTCAAAACTCATCATTTCTCCCACTTCTCTAATGTTGTTGTTGTTATGTGGCGTCGAGTCGCTTGCGACTCACAGCGACCCTATGTACAACAGCCCTAAACTCTGCTCTGTCCTGTGCCAATCGCACTGTCTCTGACACTCCCATCCCAATTATCCCAGTCACTGAATCAATCCACCTCACAGAGGGCCTTCCCCTCCTGCGCTGTCCCTCCACCCTCCCAAGCATGATGTCCCTCTCCAAGGACCGGTCTCTCCTCACAACATGTCCAAAGTATGTCAGACGGAGCCTCAGAATCCTTGCCTCCAAGGAACCACCCGGTTTAACCCTTTCCAAAACGAATCTGTTTGTTTCCCTAGCAGTCCATGGTATATTTTTTTCCTGATTTTTATCCATTATAACAGGAAGAACACAGAGAGATTTGTATTACAAAAGACTGTTGTGGTTGTTGTTGTTAGGTGCCACTGTTATTAGGTAATAAGTATGACGCATAGCAACCCTATGAACAACAGATCTGAACCCTATTCCATCCTGTGGCATCCTCACACTTCCTGACACATTAGAACTCATTGTAGCGGTCACTAGGTCAATCCACCTGGTTGAGAGTCTTCCTCTTCTTCGCTGACCCTCCACCTTTTCACGCATCATGTTCCTCTCCAAGGAATCGCCTCTCATAGCAAGATTGGGAAATAATATTAAGCACAATAGTTCCCATGTCAAGGTCAATAAGATAAGATATAGTGGTGCCTACTTCCAATTTATTTCTCAGGAAGCACACGCTTCAGAATGAACTGATGGTAATGAATATGTTCATTATATAACTATTCTGAATAACATAAAAGCGGACATAAACATCCTACAAGGAATGTACTTAAGGTATTTTTTTTTGTTTGTATTGAAACGGCAACATCCTATTTTAAACATTATGTATTTCATCAAAGTGTTAGAAAGCAAGGATGTAACTTTTAGGCAAAGAGTGACTCAATCACTGTATCTTAAGTACCTCATATGCATGTTGCTCTGGTGGCCTATGGTAAGGAGTTGTGCTGTCAACCCAAAGGTATGCACTTTGATTCCACCAGCTGCTCTGTAGGAGAAAAATGAGCACTCTCCTCTAATGTGATTTGTAGCCTTTAAAAACCCATCATCTTCACAACCTTCTGTAACCTATAGCTTTGGAAAGCCTCCTTTCTGCACTTTGGGTGCCATCTGAGCACTCGGGAAGTAAAAATGGTTCAGTATTCAGAAACACCACAGGTTTCTCAATATCTGTACTGAAAACTAAAATCTTTGTGTTTGTTGTTGTTGCTGTTGTTGTTATATGCCATTGAGTCCCCTGTGACTCTCAGCAACTCTATGTACAACAGCGCTAAACCCTGCTCTATCCTGTGCCAATCTGTTTCTGACACATCTACCCTTATTACCCCAGGCACGGAATCAATCCATCTCAGAGAGGGTCTTTCTCTCCTGCGCTGTCTTTCCACCCTCCCAAGCATGATGTCCCTCTCCAAGGACTGGTCCCTCCTTGCAATATGTCCAAAGTATGTCAGATGACCTCTCGAAGGTACTAAGGAGCAACAGTGTCTCTCTGGAGACTAAGGTGCGCCTGATACAGGCCATGGTCTTTGCAATCACTTGTTATGCATCAGAGAGTTGGACAATGAC